GAACATTCGAAATCGAACAAGAAAAACAATTCTCTCTCTCTCTCTCTCTCTCTGAATTCGAAAAGAATAATAAGAAAATCGATTTTTTTTTCGAGACTACTGGGACGAACTTTAAAAAGATTTGGCTGTTGACTTAATCTACAGATCACTTTAAGAAGAAGAAATAATTAGAAAGGTAATAAACGTAATTCATTTCATTAATGTCTACTAATTAAAAAATAAAAATAAATTGTTTGAACTAAAAGAAAACGCATTAAATAAACAGAAAATGTGGAAAAATTTAGTTCTCTGAGGCTAGATTGTCCTTCTCATGAACAATAATTAAGGGGTGAATGTTTTATATGTAATATTTTCTATTTAGACTATATTTAAAATTTTATGCGTAAGGTTAAAGATAAAAAAAAAAAGGAGTTATATATAACATAGCCTCAGAAAAAATAATTTTGTAATATAATTTAAAATAAATTAAATTGATATTGAGACAATACTTAATTATATTAATCTACAAATAAATTTAGCTTTAAAATGTCTCTTTTTTTTCGCATATCCACGCAAAAATAAATAATCATAGTGATGGTGGAAGTCATTTTTGTGTTTCAAATGATTTTAGTTACGCGGGTAATCCTCAATTCGTCAGGCTATTTGCGTAATCTCCAACAGTTTCCCAGATTCACTGATAGTTATGGTTACTGCTCAGTTTTTAACGGTTATGCCATGATCTCATAAAGCCTTCCTTAATTACTGGGCAGGTTCCTAAATTCGGAGATGAGCTCATCGATGATACAGTTTAGAGTTGGATCCAATGCCATTGATGATCAATTTAAATTGCAACGAAGACTAATTGCAACAAGTCTATTAAGAAAAGTATAATTTCATTGCTTTGATAAAACTTCGAATTTTAATTAATTTTGTGAACTCTAATTTTTTTTGTCTAAAATAAAATTATTGATGCTTTTGACTCTTCTTTATGATTAAAAAAAAGTTGTAACTTCACTTCCATCTTTGTCAACTTCATTTTTACACGAGTTTAACTGAATTTCGAAATATTTTTTATAAAATAAAAGTAAATATTTTTATAACGGAAGAAGACATAAACAACAATAAAATATTAGCGTAACGAAACATAAAGAGAGACACTTCAATGTTATAGGAAATACCTATCTGTGATCACGGAGGTAATGGACGTCATGCCACATTTTGTATTTGTCCAGGAGAGACAATGTTACAAAACTTTCAGCTCTTAAAATTTGTTTGTTAGTAGCTAAATAGTACTCCGCAGGTAATGGACGCCATGTCACATTGTTCAGGTAAGCCCATTATCCATAACTTCGAGCTATTAAAAGTTTCTTAGTTACTAAACTATAAGTTATGTTTCTGTCTGTAGTTACTATATGTTTCTTAGTGTGAATGTGGTCTTACCTGACTATAATCAAAGTCCAGATGACATATTGTTATATTGCTCAATAAATAATAAAACATTAAAAAAAATACTAAACTATTTAATACAAAAATGGACATGGTGTACCATACTTCCGGGGCACAGATATATAATATCCAAAAATGAACCTATTCTTTCAACATATTATAGATTCAAGATAACAGTAAAAAGGGCATTGTGAAGTAGAGCAGATTGTAATGAATATGTAAAGTATTACTGTAATAATACTGTTATAGCATGAGTTAAGCAGCAGGGCTAGAACGGACAAGATACAAAAAGATACAGAATAGTGACAGTTACATAATATTTAGACAAAATTTATAAACAATGTGAATTTATAAAACTACGGGTCGAAACGTCGGCTTTTAATAAAAATAGTTCTACCACTATTTAGCCTATTTATGACCGCCACCACGGACCATCTCATTCCTTTATGATGCAACTGTCAACTATTAAATATTCAACAAAACATTTATATATTTTAATATTGATTTAGTTTCAATATAATGTTTAATATTGACATAAGATATATTTATATACATAAACAAAAATAAATGTCATAACGTACATAAATAAGTAAACCATCAATCTTAGCATAACAGTAGTCGTTGGTGGAGGTGCATAATTCACAGTATGGTCAGCAGTGTGTTCCAAAAGCTAACCGATTTATGTCACGTATCATTTTAAGATTGTTTGGAAACATTTACCAAACCTCACTCCTTAGCATCACAAAACAAGCCCACAATCAGTCGAGTGGAGTGTAGAGTGAAAAACCAAGATTTGAGCCAGGTTCATTCAGCATTGAGAAGCCTATCTGGTCTACCCGGTTCACGTAGAACATTAGTTACAACTTTTAAGACCTCACTTAAGAAGCGAAAAAATATTAATTAATTCAAATATCGATTAAAATAAACAAACCCAACATAGCCTAGACCTCTTCGATCATTGCAATGGTCTTATAATTCATGATTATACATTTCATCCTGTCAGGTGGATAATTGCCAAAAAATGCACATGATCCGTTTGAAACATCAAACAATACAAGTAAATTGTTATATAAATATATTAAACAAAGGACAGAAATATTTATGATTCCTATCCCGTGGTAATAGCAAAATTTTCCCATCCCATACGGTTTAGTTATCTAAAAGGTAAAAAATAAAATAAAATAAAATGGTATGACATATTTAACAATAACTAGATAGAGGCTTAACACTCCATATCATATCTGTCATCAGAATTAATGGTAATGTTCGAAAGCATAAAATACCAAGCCATTGCCAAATTCTTTGTTTATATAAACTAAATTTATTTTTAATGATATACTATGCAAACTATTACTTTCACTCAACTTTCTGCCAATTTGCTTTTGTGGAATTTTTCAATGAAACCACTCCTTCGATTAAGTGGTCAATGACTCCTGATTACGCCGGCTCATGATTTTCGAAATGTCCTAACAAAAAATGTTGCATATATTAGAAAACATGGCCGTACAGTGACGTGAGGACTATTAGTTGAAGCAAGAGGCTGATTAATTCCCTTTCTCGGAATTATTAATTAGTTGAGATGGAGCCGACGTGAAAACAGTTGACTCATTAATACCAAGCTAAAACTGTTTGTAGAGCTTCACGATACCAACTCCTAACAGAATAGCTAACAGCTAAAATATGCATTACAGTAATTAGAATTAGTAATGTGATTTCAGCTTCAGATGGTCAAAGTTATTCCAATTATTATTTAAAGTAAATGATTCAATATTCTTTAGAAACAACGAACATAAGCCTGCTATTAATGCCCGTGTATGCATTCGCTAAACAAACACCAAAATTGACGAAATTTAATCGCTCTTCTAATTGTAATTGACAATGTCGGATAATTGCAGATAGAATAAAATCTTTCTAATAGATTTTTATTTTAAAGTTAACTATAATCATCAAATATCTTCCTAAAATCCTGCATAGTATTCTCGTAATTTGTGATATATACCTAATGTGCTTTGGTGTTTTAGCACGAATCTTAAGTAAACGACCACTAATGTTATTCTGCTAAAGTGTTCTTAGCTATAATAAGTTAAAAACCAACCTCCACTTCTGTCCACTTTACTAGTTAATGTTGATTTTTAAGGATTTATTTTATTTTTTATATGAACACTGTTTAGTACATGAGGTGTGACAGCCACATAGTTATAAGGAAATTAAGAAGAAAAAGTTTTTCATTTTGAATTTAATCAGGTTTACGGTAATTACATAAACAGACTATTATATTCTTTTGAAAACGCTTTTTGGATTCCTTCTGCATCGTTTCTAATATTCCGTTCCATTTAAAACAAAATCAGTAAACAGGAGATAAAAACCTTACAATAACCTTCTCTACACAGACCCCCCCAGGCGAGTGTAAAAAATCGAGTATACTAGTGGTCATATTTACACACAAATCGTAAATAAGTTACACGTATTTGACATATCTAAGAGATTTACAATAATTAGCACTCGTGGCATAGGATACCACTATCAAGTCATGGTTTTGCTGAATGGATTTAATTGTCATCGCGGTTTAAGTACGCGGTATTTCGCTTTTAATACGTGATATGACATTAAATACAAAAAGTCAATATAGCTTCCACATGGGACAATACCGAAGTGTAAAATCACTGAACAGTGAGCAACGCAATAATTTTTTTTAATAACAATAAAACCTTTGATCCTTTTAACACAGATGATGTATTATTTGATGAAACCCTAAAATGCTTATTGCGCTTATTTCTTTGGCTGTTACGTCTTCAACAATTATATAAGATATTAATTAGGAAATGTGGTGTCATGGTGGTTAAGAAATAAAGCTATTACCGAAAGTATTTAAACCGATCTCTACATACTGTGCTAATACTCAAAATAAAGCATAGCAAGAAACATAATAAAAATACTGATTAGCTGTCGTACTCACGCAAGCTCCTCCGTGCCGACGAAGCTGTGTCAGTACACTACAAGATGAAAGTTGGCCATAGCTGGTTGTAATCAGGGCGATATTATCAGAGCACGGTACATGGCGGCCAGTTATCCCTAAGGATTTAGATAATAATAACAGATCCACAACACCGCTACCGCAAGGCACGCTGGAGCGCTACTGACAGCAGCCAACCTAATTAGAACAATAATAGCCAAGGCCTCTTAGATAGCTATCTGCCAGGCGGTGACCAGCTGGTGGCAATATGGCGCCTATTATCATCGGCAGGTGTACCATTGTTCACTTCGAGAACTCCTTACTGTACAAACAATGGCTATCCTATACGCAGAGGATCCAAAACATACGTAATAATTTGGAGGTGAGGGAACAATGTAATAACTATCATAATGGCCAAAATAGTGTAGCCGCACTGCTTTATACTAAACGTGGACTTGTTTTCTTTAATATAAATAAAAATTAAATAACAAGAAAAACAAAAACAAAAGAAATTTTATAATTTAAAACTTATACAGTAACTAAAATTTAATAAATATGAGGAAAATAGTACAATAATGTAATCTGGGAAACATATGAGAATGTGATTTCGTATAAAATAATATTAACCAGAGTAGGCGAAGAAAGGTTGTTGAAGAGGAGATATTTTAACGAGCAAAACTTTGAATTCAGGCGAATGATATGCAGGATAGATTTCCGGAAAGAAGCAGCGTGAGTTAGGATGGATTTTCCTCGCAGCCGTTTGGTGAGGAGAAAGGTAGAAGTCAGAAGGACGAGATTGTATAATTTTGACCAAACCCGAAGTTCTTTCTTCTTTGTAGATATCATCAATTAATTAAAATAAACGTGAATGTATCATGACAAGGCTAGAATAAAATAATAAGCGTGCATCAAGAGTATAGGCTTTATTTATGAATATAAAGATGAATTTTCACTAGAATTTCAATTTTCCTCTGGTTTTATCAATGTTGAATTATATTTACAATTTTGTTTTTCTATTTCTATATTGAGAAATATTATGTTCTCTCACATCTAAGGACAATAGTAGCGTAGCTCTATTGATAGAAGCGTAGCTCATTCACAGTATGTACAATAAATAAACAGAAAAATAATAATAATAAAAGTTAATGTATATAAACTAAACCAATCAAAACAACTACTTAAATACATACAAACTTTTATATAATATTTACAAAGTTCATTCATTCAAGATCTCCGAGCCAAGCCATTCCCACAAATCGTGGAAGTAAACATTAATAGCATAAATCAATTATTATAATAATAAATATAATTTGAAAAATTGAAAGATATTTTCCACATTTTGTTGAACGGAAAATTCAAATGGGTTGCTTACTAAGAAACTTTATGAGCTTTCAGTATATTATACCCGTCTATTTACTGATAAGTGACTATTTAACGATGGATTAGCTACTGTTAAATCGTATTTTTGAAGCGCAACGTTCAGCCTAACACACGACTATCAAAAGGATGGCGAAAAAAGAAATGAAGACTCAAGGAGAGCGGTCTAAATCGGACAAAAGTTGCCGTCACCGCTGTGTCTGGCCCATCACAGTTGGCACCACTGTTCCGGAAGTCAAGCCAATATCCCACAACTATAGTGCACAACTACGTACTGTTATCTTTGTAACGGTTTTACCGATAAAGTATTTATTAATTGATTACTAGAAAATAATTCAGGAAGAACTCTTGTACTTAATTCCAAGAAACAGAAATTGTTAACGAAAAATATGAATTATAACAAAATTATTAAAAACATCTTTATCAATCAACCATTATTAAACTTTTCATGCTAATATTAATTAACAAAGAATTAGTAAGTATCGATTGTTCCAAAATTTCTAAAATTTAAAATTCGCAAAGAATAAATTAGGATTGGTCTTCGATAATGACTTAGTTTTTAATGAGTACATATAGATAAAAAAATCAAGACTGCTTAAACATGTAGACGAAAATAATTTAAATGAATTGCACATTATGAAAATATTATTTATCCGACAAAACAAAAAAATAAATAAAGTCGAAACAATGTATAATAAGTACTCACAGAGGCGAACTTTGTAGAACGAAGTAATTTTTCATTCCTTCCATAAGTGAGTTAAAAGAAACTAATCTAGCTATCCCTGTATGTTAAACTTTAAAATTTAGCTATGAGCTAAAGTTTATTTTAAAGGGAAAGGATATATAAAAATAAAATTCTGTTACTTACTTGGCTAGGAAAGAATTGGCACAGAAAGGGGGCATTACTGCCACTCGTAGTGTGTAGCGTAGCGTACACGAGATCTTCACCGAATTAGATCTATTCACGGTTCTATTTACCGATGTTTTAAGGCTTACATAACAATTGCAACTAATCATCATTAAAACAATTTATCATTATAATCGAACAATAATATTAACATTAAAATCCAGTTTTTAAATCATGACAAAATATTAATAAAACATTGAATTGAGTGGGTCTAAAATGGATTGACTCCGTTTGACTTAATTCCGTAGCTCGAGATTTTTAATTTGGCTCTTTTCCACTTTAAGCACACAGTGAGTTTTTGCATTTGGATTAAAATATCTCAGAAACTAGAAATCGCACGTGCATGATGTAAACGCCGTGAACGTTTAACATTTCATCCTCTTTGTAATGACCTATTATTCAAAATTGTATCTTAACAAGACGCCGTATCAGAGAGACGAATAGGAGATAATAGCGCTGAAAACCAACTGTTAACAAGTTTTTTGGAATATATGGATTAAAATATCTAAGAAAATAAAAATCGGACCTGCATACTGTAAGGAAGAAAAATATTCAGCATTCCATCCTTTTTGTAATGAGGTATTATTCAAAATTGTATCGTAACGCGAAGTCGTGTTAGAGAGGCGAAAAGGCAAAAAGATAGCATCGCTGGTATGTTTAAAGTAGAAAAGAGCCTTTAATTTTTATATTTTTTCACCAATACTTCCCTATTTAACGATGTATTCAAAACTATAGTTAATTTTTTTTTTTTAATACTCAATTTTTTTCCTCGAGGCATTTTGATTATAGTTTTCAACAAACAACGTGTTCTAGAAAAATGTCTCTAACTCTGGTAATTTTGTCAATATCTAACCAAAATAAAAATAAAATTATGATGATGAATTCCTTTCGTTTTTGTTCTTCAATAGATCTACTTGTACTAATACTTGTGGAGGGCCTAATTCATCAAGTGAGCCAGGTTAGTGCCGTGTACTACTAGCCTGAGAGGAAACGTCAAGATTCACTTCTCAGGATCGCCAAAAAACAAATATTAACCGATCCAGACTGGAATCGGACCCACAACGTTCAGAACTGAGCTCTCTGGGACCAATGACAAACGTGTTTGGCCATCGAGTCCTCAATTTATGGGCAATATTGAAAGTAAAAATAAATCATGAAAATTGACATGAAACGAGACTTAAGCGTTGTAAAAGTGTAACGATGAAAAGACTAACCTTTTATTTCATTTTGGTGGATGGACCTTTCATTGTATTACATGCTGAAACAATTTTTACTCCCATTTACTTTTATATGTAAGTATTGCTATCGAGAAAATTTTTGAATCTGAGTTTTCAACGGAAATACACGTTCTGAGGTACCCTGAGTCGAAATGACCAAGTCCCGAAAAATGGTCTGTGTGTTTCTATGTTAGCAGTCTAGCTCAAAAACGAAAAGTTCTACGAAACTGATCTTACGTATTTAAGGTAAATAACGGCTCTAACGATTTTGATTAAACTTGGTGTATGATTGTATAATTAAATGGCCTTTAATATAAATTAGACCTTATCCTCATTGATGTCACTTTACAGGGCTCAAATGCCCAATGTTCATACACGTCTTCCTCTAAAGTACTTTTAATATGGTTTATTTTTTATTAGTTTTAATCATTTCACATTATTAACTTTTGAAACAATTTGATAAGTTAACAATGGAGAAAAAAAAATAAAAATGCAGAAAAACCTGCGTTGCTATAGACTGTAGAGCCTAAACGAATGTACCGATTTCAATGAAACTTCCCTAAAGTCATTTTCTCGACACCATTTAAATTTATCTATATAACATCCTTCAACGAAAAGAAACTGGAAAAAAGTTACGAGGGATGGTAAAATTAAATTCCGAATAAATCAAAAAGTATATACTTTTTTGGGGATGTTGTGATAACATGTTTCAAAGGTATTTAAATTGCCTAAAAATGAAAGAAGTTTCATCGAAATCAAAGCAGTATTAGTAGATATATGGTGATTTTAAAATATTTTTACTATGTTAAGAACCATGTTTTGTTTTTTTTATTTTAATTTTTAAAGACGGCCAAAAGTATTTTCCGACTATTTATGAAGTTGACTGTGATAAAGGAGAGAATGGAAACATATGAAACTGATACTGTTTATACCTCACATCTTTATGATAGAAACGTATGGCACTCATGTAGGTATGATCTTCATCATTGAAATGTATATAAACCTATTCCAATTTGCCAACGGAGAGTTGTAGCCACTCGAATGGGAACGGTGTTGAATCTCGCCCCAGTGCCCCCCGCGGGGAGTGGGCCAAGGTCGATCAATGCCTCCGCTCCTAACAGCCCACCCTCGGCAATGTCCTCCCTCCCACGCTGCCCGATATCACAACAAACGGTTGAGGATTAATATGTGAGCCGACGTTTAGGCCTAACTTCTTCGTGTTCTCTCGTAAGTTACCTTGTCGTAAGATGAAAGCTTACGACTTAAGCCGAAAGACGTTTTCATTTATTGTATAACTAGTACAGCCCAGTGAGAAATATTGCGCTATATACCCATCCTTCACTCACACAAATCTAACTCATTATGCGCATTTACAATATGATATTATCAAGGTAGTCTATTTAACATTGAGTGTTTGCAAACTGAGTTTGCAAGACTCGTCCCGGTCTCGCATTTGGGCAACACTAATAATAAATCAAATAAATAGATCTTGAACGAGTACAATAATGGATTAGTATTAGTTAAAAAAACGACAGCTGTTAAAACTTTAAACTAAAAAGCTTTAAAAAAAAATTGGGTAATTTTGCTCGCGTCCGTACATTGTACTCGTGCCCTCCGGTTATAACTAAATGAGCAATATTGTCGCCGAGAAGACAGTTCATAGGATTCATGGCGGAGTTGTATTGGGCAGCCAGGAGCCGAATGGCCTAATACTTGGCCATGGTCTTGGTCTTGCGCGAAAGTTTCGCAACAGTATTGCAGTTACTTATTACTATAGAGACATTACTGTAATTTTTTAGATAGAAGAAACCTAACTAAGCCCGAATGAAAAATTAGAGGATTTAAGTGCAAAAGTATATTGGTTATACCAATTATTTACATATAGTAACTAAGATTGTCAAGTTTTAGTAACTATTTTGCCTTAATTTTTATTCGAAAAATCGTTTTTTTTTTTTACCAGTCCTGGTATTGGTCTTGCAACAGTTAGGCGGCCTTGGTCTTGTCTAACGAAGTGCAAGACCAAGATCGATTTTGGGCAACACTAAATCTATCTAAGCCCGAATAAAAAATTAGAAGAGTTAAATGTAACAGTATATGGGTTATATTAATTCTTTACATAAAGTAACTAAAATAGTCAAGTATTACTAACTATTTTGTCTTAATTTTTGCTAAAATCTAATAAAAAGTCTTTTTTTTTTTCGAGTTTTGGTCTTGGTCTTGCAACAGTTAGACGGTCTTGGTCTTGCAAAATGCAAATTCAAGATCGATTTTGGGCAACACTATCCGAGAGTATAACTATTAATATATTTATTAAAAATATCAAAGAACTTCGTTTAATATCATACGAAGAACCAATGAGATGTTCTCCATAATTTATCTTTTCAATAATAGTGAAGAAATTGTAGAGTCACATAGTAGTTAGTTGGGGTTGTAGTCACATAGTACACACAAATAAAAACAAAAGATTTTTATTCTGTTCAATATTCCTAATTTTGGTGTCTTGAGATTTTCATTTGTATAAATTAAGGACATATTCCTCCAACATTTTATTTACTTGCATTATTACTTTCGAAACCATCTGAATTTTGAATTGAAATTTGAGTGAAATTCTCTTTCGTTTCATCAAAATTCATCGCTCGTGCCTGAGAGCCGGAAAAGGAATCTATACAACCTCAAGATATACAGGGTTTCCCATAAGTAGAGGGAAATATTTAAGAAGTTGATAGTAGACATCAAGATCTACAAAAAAAATTCATATAAACTATTGCCCAATTTCCAACAGAAAAGTAGGAAAATTAAGATTTGTGTTTTTTTATACAAGTCTCGTTTTTATTGAATAGAAAACGATAACTAAAGTATTATTTAATTAAAGTAATAAAACATTGCTCTATAGTAAACTAGACAAAATTTATTTTAACCGAAGTAGAGATTGTCTTTAAAAACATTTAAAGAGCGGATGGACTATTGAGCGGAAAAAACATAGCTTTCCGTTGTTCCGTTTAAAAAAAGTCATTTGTGATTTTTTTTTTTTTATGACATCCTTCAACTGTACCACAATTACCACACTTATAGAAAAACTTCCTCGTTTAAAAAGCTTTAATTACATACTAAATAAGTTAAGGATTATTTGGAAAAATTTGAGATTCACCTCAAGTTGTGTAAGGAAAGTACCTAAATGTACCATTGTTTTCTGCAAAAATGACTATAAATAACTTTTGCAAAGCTTTTATTACGTTTTCCCATGATCGCCAATGTATTATAATAAACCCAATTGCAGAAAGAAGCATTTGATTTATAAAAAAAATTAATTTGAAAGTACTGATTTTTCAAGTGTTATCGGCTCAATAGTCCTCTATAGATATTTTTAACAATGGCAAACTATACTTTCGTTTGAAATAGATTTTGTCTAGTTTACTATGGAACAATTTTTTATTACTTTAATCAAATATTTTTTATGTTATCGCTTCCAATTCAACAAAAAAATGACGCATAAAAAACACAAATCTTAAATTTCCTACTTTAATGAAATTAGTTGTTGCTGCTGGAAATTAGGCAATTATTTACATGAACTTTATTGTAGATCTTGATGTCTACTATCAACATTTTTAAATATTTCCCTCTCCTTACGGAACACTGTATAGAGTAGATAAATACCTTCCTTCCTGTATAGTTCTCACCATCTCCCCCTCTCCAAACTGCCTTCTTATTTTAATTTTATTAATTCAGTTTTTATATGATGTCTCTCTCTCCTTTCAGAATAGCATTCACAATTTTTTTCCTCGCTGCAGATCTTAGTAAGCTTACATTGTGATACGAGCAACCAAGGATCACCAAGCTTTTTAAAGAAATATCAGCTATCGTTTCTATTATTAGTTTTCAATGACACAGTTGTAGAGATATAATATGGACTTATATAAGTCTCAAGGACCATCCACACATGGGATGGGAACAAGCCTTAACATCTCACTCCGTAAATGAACAACAAGCGGTTGAAAAACGTCATCTAAGTAGGATCAGTATCGCCTTCTTGCCATTTGTATTGGCTACAAAATTATAATGGAAAACCTATGGTTTGAAATGCTGTTTTTTAAATATAGTTTGGTCAAGGAAAAACGCATACTTAAGGAAAAGAATTAGACGGACATTGATAAAATAGCTTTGGAACCATCTGTGGATCAAACCATACAATTCATGAAAATTTCATCAAATCTGATCAATAACATTAGATTTTGTATTCGACTAAAGCATACAGTTTAAATTATATTTTCGAATATAGATTAAAATCTTATAACTATAAATAACTATGACATAAATATAACCTCCCTTTCCATACGTTCTAAGCATACCAAATTTTACAGCCGATCTAATATTCTTAAACAATTTCACAACTAATAGTTATGAATGGAATATAAATAACTTTTGAAGTAGTGGATAGAATTTTATACCATCTTTTTTACACTGATACCAATCAATAATTTTTTTTTTACCAATTCCTAACTTCCATCCAAAACTACGTGTGTTTTTTTAGTTAGAGACGTATAAAGAAAAATACGAGAAGGGGGTTTATGAAGAAATAGGGGATGGAGTTGGGAGCAGCATAATTTTTATTAATAATTATCAACTATAGATAACAAGCTTTTTGAAATAAAGGTTTATCTAAGAAAATACATTTACGCGTACGTATGCAAAAGTTATGGATGGAATTCGATACGAGCCATCTAGGTACCAATATCTAGGTATCAATTATCTAAAAATTTCATGAAAATCTGATTAACGGTAGTATGTGATATGCGTAAATAATACGTGAACCTCCAGTGTAAATACTCTATTCTGAACAAAAAAAAATGTTTTTAACCTCGCGCAAGTATACAAAGCTTCTCTTATCTTCGGTAGTGAGGAAGCAAAGTACAGTTGTATCCTATCGTATATTTAACACTACTGTATTAATTTATCTATTTTTTACAGATGATTCACGGCAAAGATTATTATGTCGTAGTACAATAATATTAATATTCCAGAACAGTTTTGTTTTTGTTTTTCACCTATATTTCAGATAAAAGAGCGGAATTAATTATGAGTGGAAAAATTATTTCAGATCCCCGGTTGGTCATCATTAGTAATTTGGATTTCGACGACTTATGCCTGGTCGATCATGTCTGCAAGAAAACGTTAGAGGAATGTACCGTTCTCTGCGAGGGAACTTAGTTACAGTTTTAATTAGCAATCTCAGGTAATATAAAAACCTATTCCCTGAGGCTACATACGACAAGCAAATTGAAAAGGAACAGTATCTTTCCTAAGGTTGCTCAGTCACCGTGTTTATTTTAAATAGAACCATTTTAAACAACCATAAAAGCCTGACAGGCAATAGCCTTAAATATTCAGAGGCAAATGCCAATCTTTCCACGTTCAAATTACAAGTCTCACATACACTTCAAGAGCCAGAAAAAATAATAAAATGAAACAAATCAATTCAAAATATAATATTAGTATACATGAAATAGATAGCATACAAGCATTCATAACACAAATAATTACTAATCAGACGACTTAAAAAACTCGTTTTAGGTCATGTGATTCGTTACAAGTGGATGAAAACGATATTTATTTTTCGGAGAGGTGGAATTTTCACCCCGATTCTGTGCGCAATAGCCAACCAAAACGACTCAAACGATTTTGATGAAACTTGCCTAAAGTCTTCTAAAAACATTTTTTAGCACCGAGAAACAACATTAAGAATATATGTCGCAATAACTTACATGGACATACCAACACACTGATACAAGACATAGTCTCGATTAACATGCCCGAAAGCACGCTTCGGAGGCTCAAAAGAAGCTGGATGAGGGATTTCCTCACCTAAAAATATATTGAATTCAAGTCAAGAAGGGATGCCGCTGGGCACTCCTTTCCCTCACGCCGATCAAACCACTATTAGTATTTTCCTGACAGCAGACTCGCTATAATTGTCAGTCCTTCTGACAGGTGTGGATAAAAAAAATAATGCATTTTATAGAATCAACGATAAGGTAAATAAATCATCTAAACCAGACCATTGCTTGGAAAGACACAGTGCATTGGACATTGACAGATCCATATTTCTACTTTTTCACCGCTACAAACTAAGAAATGTATTGTAATCGGATAGAATTTTCGATTTGCAGATAAGAACGGAGCTACACGCTCCCGAGCAGTTATTTATGTGCGTGTTACAATAGTTATTTAGGTTTTGGATTTGGACAAAACCTAACTGTTTATTGTAGGCCAATATTCCAATGTAATAT